CTTAGAAGAGCCAGGACAATTTTTAATATAACTCCGATTGGATTCGTCTGAAAGAACAAAGTCATATACACCTAGGTTGCCTCGAGGGTGAGTAAAACACAGGCTAATTTTCATTTTTGGGTGAACTAACCCTTTAAATCAACAAGATGGTCTGAGCAATATTTCAGTATACAGGCTTAACGAATATAACCACCTGAGCAAACTGAATCAATTTTCTGTTTATTTAATCATTTGCTCTTAAATATTTTACAGGTATTTTGTTTTAAGCACAGTATGATTTTTTTAGTGGTATGAATTTTTTAAAGAAATTGTATTTTGTATGTGATAATCAGTCATAAATCTGCAACATTTTAAAAATGTATTATATGTTAGATAAAATCCTAATTTTAATAATTTATCATTATTATAAATGTTGGTATACCTTAATAAAACTTTTCTGCCCACGCACGTAATTTTGCATAGCGACTGATGTTTAAGGAAGTTTTTGGGTGGAGTTTTTTTTCTACAGTTAATTTGCAAGAGAAAAATCCTTTGACCACTGAATGTTTTCAGCTCTGTCAATCAGTCATACCACAGTAGGACCAATCTAAAAATGTCATCTAAACTGTTTTATCTATTCATTTTAGATGAGAAAACTTCCATACATAAGAAAACATTCAGCACGTTTAAATTGACGTTCTCAGCTTTCGTTAAAGCTTTTTCAATGTAAACATGGACTTCTCAGTGTGTTTGGGTGTGGCTGTGATATCTGTCAGGTCATGTGTTGAGATGAATTTTCTGTTTGTACCCCATCACAACATTTCCTTAAACATCGGTCAAAATTATGCAAAATCACATGCAAGAATACAAAAGGTTGATTGTGGTATAAAAGCATTTTAAAAATGTATTATAAGTCATATCAAATAATTTAATTTTACATGTAATACATTTTTAAAATGTTGCAGATTTATGTAGCTGATTATCACATATAAAATAAATTTTATTTAAAAAAAAAAAACATCATTAAAGACATCATATTATATTTAAGAGCTTATGATTAAATAAAAATAAAAATTTATTCAGTTTGATTTGGTGGTTAATTTCATTATGCTTGTACTTTAATATTGCTTAAAATAATACACTGATATATCAAATACATATTTTTTGCTTGTTTAAAACAAAACTACTAATTTAATTTAATCAGTATATGCCTCAGAACATCTTGTTGATTTAACAGTGTTTTTTCTAACAATTTCAATTTCTTTATTCTATAGATATATTCTATGCTTTACTTAGCCAACTTTTTTGTTTGATTATTTTGCTTTTATTTATTATCTGCTATTGTACTTTCT